AAGAACAAATGCGATGAATATAAGGAGAAAAATGTACGGTCCTAATGCACCAGGCACAAGTTAGCCCTAAAAACAGAAAGAAAACGACCATTTACTGTGGATAATTAATACACAGTATTCCACTAATTATATACTAGTAACGAAGTATTTTGTTTTGATAGAATTAGTCACCAAGTATTTCATCCTATAAGATTTTAATTATATTCCTTCCTTTAGCTTTTACACTATCCCCATCTGAAAACGGGATAAGCTTTATTTATTTTTTATACTTGGTGACTAAAAGCTCTCATATACACTGTTATTTTAGGTTATTATTTGCATTTTAAAAAAGAATTCACATACATCTTGTAGTCCCTAGTGGCGCTTATTTTCTAAAATTCATTCATTTTTCTTCATATTTTAACTACACATTTCATGGTACTCATAGTTTCTATCAATTTTTCAATCGCATATTTCTTCAACTTTTATCAAAATCTACTGAAAATCTAATATTTAACAAAACCAAAGTGGGACGTAATGTGAATGTGAATGTTTCATTGAATAATGAGAGACATAGATGATAGATATATACATTATATATATATAGTAGTCCCGGTTTGTCTAAAATTATTTCAAAACTCTACCTTTCTTAAACTCGTTTTCAGCCACACATTCTCATAATAAAATATTTTGCACGTAAATTTCAAAAAAAAAAAAAAATCTTATTTTATAACCACACATTCTCTAAAAATTCACTATTGAACAACTTATTTTCCTTCTTTAATGATAGGCCAACATAGACATAATGTGTACAAAGGTGTATCTACGTATGATTGTACAGCTTTTGTTATCACCAAAAGTAGAGTACATGATTTCAGAACTGTTAATTATTCCTCTAATATGTGAAGCTTCTTTTCTTTGGGTATATGTATAAATGCTAATACTTTTGTGGGGGCAGTGCATGCAATGATGATATAGCTACTGAAGATTGCACTTTAAGCTTCTGCAATTGTAGTCTGCTCTATATTTATATCAAAATCTTGCATTAAAGCATTGTTCTTTTGTTGTCTGTCGTGGTACGACTCCTTTTTAGCTCATTATTATCCTTAACCTTGTTCACAGTACTCAACTACTGACTCTGCCTAATAAGAGACTGGCTTGTCTCAACAGAGCTAATAAGAGACTGGCTTGTCTCAACAGACAAGACATATATATATAGTCCCGTTTGGTGCACATTTTGAAGGTAAAAATGTATTTTTACTGTTGATGTGATGAGAAATATGTGGTTGAAAAAGAAGGAAACGTTATTGATGCGATGAAAAATATTATTTTATTGAAGAATGTGTGGTTGAAAATGATTAGAAGAATGAGAATGAAAAAAATAATGTGGACCAAACAGGCCAATAGACACTAGAATTTCATTTTAATTGAACTGATATAGCCCCTATTCGAGCCTCGTTCTTTAAAAGTACGTTTTCACTACTTTTAAATCACGTAGTTTCAAAAAAAAAAAATTATTACAAAATTCATTTTCACAAAAAATTGAGCTCAAACATAGCCATAGTGAAATATTGGAAAATAAAAAGATTCTCTCCAAATTCTACTCTTGGTTGTATTATAACTCTGATATCATGTCAACTATCTTATTTGAAAGTATAAATTGTTAGAGAGAACGTGGATTGGTTCAAATCTCATTGTCTCCATATTTATCGTATTACAAGTTCAGTTTCTATTCTTGATGGGTATACACTAGACATGCAAGTAAATATTTTCTTATGCGGAAAAAATATTATCACAAAGTTTTTCTTATAAATATTTAAAACATTGATTCTTCAAATCGTCATACATCAATCTAATTACAAACTTTAAACATTTCTAGTCACGTATTATGACATCGTACGACACATTTTATCCAGTTAGACACACGTAAGTTTATATTAAACCAACAAATCTTCAAATGAGGACGCTTATATGTACAACACGAACATTTTCGAATTCTCATTCCCAAAAAAATTCCAGATAAATTATGACACTAACTTTATAATACAATTGGAATTTAAATGCCATATATGTACACAAAATTTTGAAATGAGGTGGGAAGGATGGTCAATAAAAGTTTGAGAACGTGAACAGATATGTGAGTGCAATAAAGTGAAAAATAAATATACTTTCTTTTTTCATGTAAAGACTCTAGGGCTCAATCTCTAGTGCTTTTGTGGAATAGAAGATTGTCCTGCCATGCATGTGCCATCACATCACCCCCACATTTACATCTACATACAGACAAATCAGACTTAGCCCCTATCGACTTGTCACCCCTCCATATCTACATTTACATCATCATTTACATCGTTGTTTACATTTTATCATACGATAATACATCATTGAACAATTTAAATTTTTGACAATTTTTCCAACCAATCAAAATTTGTCAACACTTGTCATGTCAATCATAATATCAAAAAATAATTTACAAGTCGCATTTCCCTATAATATTCCCTACTCATCAATAATTAACATGATTATCTAATAATTAACAAAATGTTCTACCCATTTTCCCATGTTAGGCATCTTTTTTGAAATTTGGATAAAAATTTCCCATTTCAATGTTGTGTTTGAGTCACATTATTTTGGAATAATAAATTGATGGAGAATGTGTGATTGAAAAAGAAAGAAAAGTTATTAATATGATGGAAAATAATATTTTATTAGTGAAAAATGTGTAGGAGAATGATAATGAAAATTTTAATGTGACTCAAACAAGAGCTAAGAAAGAGAGTCAGATATACGATTTTTTTCGTGAAGAACTAGAAATGAAAAAAAAATATATTAGTCCAATTTTCTTGCGGTAAAAGATGCACGTTCGACGGATGCAAAAGAGGCACGTCAAGATTTTAGATGTTTGAAGAAGAACCTCAAATAATGCAACTTTACCCGAAGGAATAAATTCTTCCTTCATTGACAACCAAAGGAAAGATTCTCTTGCCTCAAAACTGCTAATTTTCTTATAATTATCTTACCTAACCATATTTATTAGAAATCCCACTCGAGTTTTTATCTTTTCAAAGATTTGGCAATAATGGTCCTTTGTTCACAAATTCTCAAGCGCTTTTGTGCATCAAAAACTGTGAAAAAACCCATTAAAAACTAAATTAATCAAAGTTAGACACCTACAAGTACACAGAGGTCTGCCTCCAATAAAATTGAAGCCTGGCACATTTCCAGGCCATTAGAGAAAAAGACAGTTAATTAATTGATTAATTAATAATTAATTAATTAGAATTTGATATTCAACTAGCTGTCCAATTTCAAAAGTTGTTCAAGATAAAGTTGTGGTTTAACTTTTAGTAGTTCTAATTTGTTTCTAAACCATAAATTAATTCTAGTACAAAAGCAGGGTGGAATGGATATTGGGACATGTTTGCTTAAATTTTAAGCATCTTAATATGCTTTGGGAATTTATTCCTAATAATGAATATATTCCTTTGTGGGACCATATTCCTCTAACACACTACCTTTACTAGTCTTTCTCCTTAATTTTATTTTTATCATCAACTTACTTAATATGGAAATGCATATAGAGTTGTTGGGAATATGATACTTATAATTTATAAAAATTATCTTTTCATTAGTTCAAGTTACATTTGAGTTTTATTTTTTTAATTTATTTCATCCCAATTTGTCAGATAATCATCGACTGGTTTAAGAATATAGCGTTCTTTTGTAACCATGAAGGTTTAGTATGTAAGAGAGATTGTCTAGTTGAAGCAGACTAGTTTAAGAATATAGCATTCTTTGGTAACCATGAGGGTTCAGTATGTAAGAGAGATTGTCTAATTGAAGCAATCTTTCACATAGTTGATAAATGATGTTCACAGTTCATAGTTTTTCTTCGATTTTAGATTCTTTCAATCAATAGTGATTTTCTTTCTGTTATTCTTTATTTTTATTTTTTTTCTTGATATTTTTCAAAAAAAATATTATTTTTTGTGTCATTGGAAATATTAATTTTTATTTCAATAATGAGTATAGTTGGGTTTAAAATGATTATCAGTTTTGAGTATTGTAGACAGCCCACAATTGGCGCCGAGTCAACTCGAGGTTCATCCACATTGACTCACTGGTTTCTAAAGAATCTGATTCGTGCAGGACCATCTGATTTTTGAAGCCACTGTCCCCTTTTTATCTCAAAAGCCAAGAACTTCGAGCAGTTCTTGAAAGCGCTAATTGCTAAATCGATCCCAGTTGCAAACCTTTTTTCTAATAAGTTACTTAATATTCCCATATCCTTAAAAAAGAAAAAAAATAACTAAAATAGAACTAAGAATAGGCAAATCTAACCTTAGAATAAGTCATAAATTTCAGCCTTCCACCATACAAATAGTAACATTCTATGTCCAAAATTTGGGTGGGAGGGGGGGGATTCCTCCTTTAACCAGCCCACGTGGCCAAATGTCACTTACTCTATTGTACAAGGATCTCAAAAAAGCCAATCTGAACTAGGTTATCGACTCTCGAACACCGGTGTTTTGCAGGAAAGTATGATGCATAGTGTGCCAACTCTTTAAGGAGCAACCTTGATATTTAATCTGCAAGAGAAAACCGAAAGTGTGCACCAGCATCAGACATAGAAGTAATATAAGATGGGGCAAAGTTCGGAACATTTGAAGTTTTAGATGTACAATGATGTCCTACTATACATATGTTGTTAGAATTGACATACACAAGAAGCCTATGACAACAAGGGCAATAGTGAAACGTCTAAAATCGAGGCACCACAACCTCCACGGGAATGATGGTTTGTTGGACATGGCAAAGGGACTTAGCAACTGAACCAGGCCCTTTGCCTATAAAAAATCAAAAGAAAATAAAGAGGGATCAACACAGCAGATCCTAGAAAGATCAGACACCAATGACTTGAGAATAAATCCTACCAGAATGTGAATGTTGCAGCCGAAAATAGGGTTGAAAGTTTGAAATAGATATCCTATGCGACTAAACTTTTATTGGTTCTCGATTTTCTAAAGATCGATCGAGACAAGAACTGAAGATGCAGAGGCCACATTCATAAATTTGGCAAAACATGGAACTTTGGAATTTGTTATAAATAAACATACTTCCAGAAACTCATCAATCCCATACTTTGATCCTTCACGTCCAAGACCTGATTCTTTCACACATCCAAATGGAGCCGCCTACATGAGAGAATAACAATCAATTAATGAAACATATATACCTTGTCTGCCTCTAGATGCAAATTAAAACCCACCTCAGTTGAAACCAATCCTTCATTAACTCCAACTATTCCATATTCAAGAGCTTTAGAGACACGCCAAGAGCGTTGAACATTTGTCGTGAAGATGTAGGCGACCAGTCCTGCACATTAGATATGCAAATTTTGCATAGGCACAAGTCACAATCTTCTACACTGTGAATTCACCATAATCTCTTTCATTAGGAAGTGCTTTGATTGAGGCACAAACGGAGTACTGTAACAAATTGTTTATCTACTGGAAATAGAAATTTGTAATATTCTAATTTACTATATGAAGTAATCCAGGAAAAAACAAAAGACCTGCATTGGTATCATTGGCCAAGCAGATAGCTTCTCCCTCTGTTTTAAATTTCAGAAGAGCAACAGGACCAAATACTTCCTCCGTGGAGTGGAAAGCTAATATTAGACTAAATACAAAAACAGTTGTCAATCAAAAAAAATGTGACATTACATATGCAGTACAATGGAGGACTTCACTTCATTGGAATATAAATCCCAGAATGTAAGAAGAATACTACCGATCATTTTCTTTCATCATCAATATTGTCATATAAGATTTTCAGGAGGTTCGTACCAAAATTTGTTAAAAGAATGCCTTTCTACATAATACATATACCAACGGATCCTGTCATTGTGTTAATCAGTACTAAACATAACCATGAGTAGGCACTAGACTAGAATAGGCAATGTCCATTCTTTATTACCATGTATAACACGTAAAAAAGCCATGTCCACAGGAATGCATCTAACCATCATATGCAAATAGGCAATGCTGTCACCAATAATTGAAAATTCTTGGGATCTCTTAAGACACCCAAAGGTTTACACAACATTGTACTCGTAATAATATAATCTAACTATAAATTATATGAATATTCCGAGGGTTTCAAAGTTACCTGGATATGAGCATCTCACCCTTCACAACAGCCAGTACTGTAGGCTCATAAGACTGTGGCTGTTGCCGCCAACAAGGACCTTAACTCCCTAAAACCAACAAGCATATCATAGTTTAACCAGTGTAAGAACTGTATAACTTCACCAGAAATTTCTCCGTTCCATCTAAATGGCATTTTATAGCTATAGACATGCTATATATTGCTTATGGAAAATAATACAACAATATTTTCTGCCAAATTGCATAACAAAGTGGGAATTTTAATGCAAAAAACTGACCTTCTGCACTGCCGCATCATTAATTAGCGGGCCATGCATAAGAAATAAGCAATAAACTTCAAACTACATCCCCGAGTTGCTTCGTATTATAAAGATAGGGAAAACCAAGAACTGGTAAACAAATTGGATGGAGGATCATAGTAAGTCATAACATTAAAGCGGAACATTTTTAAAAATTATATATCAAGCGTAAGCCTATGAAAAATAAATTACTTAAAATAGAATATAATACACTTGGTAGAAATTTATTCAAATTTGAATAGCTGACCACCCAAACCACACCTTCACCAAAACCATCCCCAACTTTCATAATCTGCACACCACTAGAAAAGGCGTTCACTTATTCATTCACTGTGATGGAGTTCGTTGGCTGTAGAACGGTATTCTGGCTTCTCAACATATAGATTGGGTGTTGCCTAGACGTATTGAGGATGTGTTGCGGGTATGGAGGAGAAAACTTCGTGACAAGGATAGCAAGCTTGTTTGGAGCCTTATCCCAGGATGCATTGTTTGATATGTGTAGAGAGAAAGGAACAACCGATGTTTTGAAAACCAAACACGGATCACAGAGCAAATTAGAGAATTATTTTTTCTGACTTTGTACACTTGGTTTAATGCCGCGGCTAGTAATCCTATTGAGGGGCTGTCTAATTCTATGTCGTTCCTTTCGTGTTTATTTTGATTATACACTTCTCGTGTATTCTTCGTTGATTAATAAAATATTGAGATTACTTATCAAAAAAAAAATTCTCATATATTCCTACAAGAGAAGAAAAAGACCAAACATTCTAAAAATTCAATGATGAGAAGATATAGTTGCAGAAAACAATGAATAAGTGAATAAAATTAAAATAAATTATGCGGGCAACTTACCACTGATCCTGCAAGATTTGATGAAGAGACTACAAACATTTTTATTATTTTCGTTACGAATGATATATTATGAGAAATGTGAATACAAACAAATGTAAATAAATCAAGAAGGCAATTCAATCTATGCCACTTGACGGAGACATGCACCACATTCATATGGAAGCAGGATAAAAACTTTGGGAGGAGGAATCAAGTACAAAAAGTTAAGTTTCACCTATTACCTTCTTGCACAAGTACTCTATTTGTGCAAACAAATGTTTGTCCAATGTTACAGAATTTTGTTGCCGACTGCAACAACAAATGCATAGACAATTATAAGTGATTCTCCCAAGCAAAGACAGCAATTTAAGTATACTAAACAACAGCCAAATCAGTTCACATAAACCCTCTCAGAACCACAGTGTTGATTTAATCAGCAGAGTAAGTTGCTCAAACACAAAAGAGGACATGATACATTGAGGTTAACAGAGGTGTAAGAGTTTTTTCGGGTAAATGACTCGATAAACCGAAGCTTAAAGGTACTTCTCCATAAAGATGAATAAAGAAGTTGATGGACGGTAAAATCTGGGCGTACTCCAGAGGCATGACATAAAAACAACACCAGAATACGAATATGAAGACCAAATTCCTTCACAAATAAAGACAATAAAATCCCATAAAATTGTGAACACTCATACTCTAAGTAGCAGTACTTCAAGCATCTTCAAGAAAAATATTGATTCACTTGATTGATTGTCAAGACAAAAACTATCGAAAGAACTCAAGTAAATGTCTGCGTTTTCACTTCATGATAAAAGTGTAATTTATGATGTATGCTACATGTAATACCATATATATGTGTTCCAAAGTATGTCAAGCCAACAGATATCACCTTTAAAAATTCTGGACAAGTTTCATTTGCAAATCAACTATGATGTAACACCAAAAAAATCCATAAATAAAGATACATCCATCAATATGGTAACTCTGACAGTTTATTCAAAGGTCAGTATGTCACTGACCAGGTCTATGATAAACTAGAAAAGTTTGCAAAACTCCAATAATCTCCAACTCCAAGCAGCAGGTCAATTTGGACTTGTGGTGCTCTAAGAGCAGGTCTGTTTTTATACAGTCTGCCATTACCGATCTATGCTTCAATTTCCTGTCGCTGTCTATACTCTTAAATTTTTCTACCCATGTATGTTACCACTGTCAATTTATTAACTACTTTAGAGGTTTTAGCCAGCATGAAAACATTCCGGTACCAGTGCTTTCAGGGTTGAAGAAAGTAGGATTTAGATCAGTGTTTTTATAGCGAACAGACTTGCAAATCAAAAACAAACGGTGCCAAGCTTCTATGGATAAGGCAAAGGAAAAACACCATATTGAGAATGCTTAATAATATTTCCACCTCACAAGATTCCAGGAAAACGTGCAATTCCAATTTGGCTTTTAGCATACCATAACAATGACCTAAAAACTCTAGGACATCAGCCAATTTATAATGCTTTAGACAGCACATCTTCTCTAAAAATTGCTGAAGGAAGATGTTGCATGGTAAAGCGGTTAAACACCCCAAGTCATCATTAGTGTGTAACAATAACAGTAGTACACATAATAATCAGAAGAATGAGATAAATCAATCTTACAGTACACATAATAATCAGAAGAATGATACTATCTCATGTCAAGATCTGCATCATCAAAGATTATGCAAAGTGCATTGCCGTCAAATACTAGGGAGATCTACAGGCATGAGAATTTGACCTGAGATAGTATCACAAGTTATGCATTTGAGAGAGCAGGACCCCTAATTGCTTACCTTTTTCACAATCCCAATAGCACCTGCCATTAATTTTTTTCCGACAGCTGTTGACCCAGTGAATGTTATCTTTCTTACCTAAATAAGTTCGAGAAAATATTCAGTAAACTTTCTTTTGTGGACTTTCAAGTAAAGCTTCTCCAGTATCAACAGCATTTCCCATTACAATATGGGCAATGCTACATGTACATAATTTTTTTACCCAATCTTTTACCTACATTCACAATAGTGTGGGGAACACTTTTTTGGGAGTTTTTATTCACTCGGGCTCCAAGCACATGTGAGAGGGTGTAACATTTTCGATAAGGAAAATTATGTACAAATAGTTTTATCCTTACAAAATTTACCGCACCCCAACTTGTAGAAATCATCTCAGTCAGATCATATGAAATAAGAAACTAAATTGACTGGCATAAGATTTAGTGGAAAAGGATCAGCATTTTTGTTTAATTTCTTGAGGAAGGGGGGTGGAGGGGGGAAATAGGTGCATTTTGGAGATTTGTTTCAGATCACATTAAGTCATTCCAGCTCATGACATGCTTAGAGAAATATCCAGGCCTTAGATTTGATATATAGTTAGTCCGTGCAATTTTAATCATTTGTCTTTCATATCCCTCATCATAGCCATACTGCTTGAATCAATTCACGTAAATTTCTGGTTTAGGATGGTTTTTAATGTACAGGCGATGATGCACATCCAGCACAAAACCACCTCACTTAGTTGCATAGGAAAAAAAGTAGTTCGCATTGACCGCTTTATAAGATGAAAAAGTCTAAATGTTTGATTAGCTTCTATAACTAAAAGGGGATTCAGGGGAACAATTTATAATGAAAAAGAAATTCAGTTAACCAGCAGCTCGTATTTAACCTAAGTGAACTACATAGAAATCCACCACTCCACATGTGATGTGTGAAACTTAGAAAGACCAGCATCTTCTGATGGTGGTGCAAGGAGAAGGGGGAGGGCATTCCCACTCTCTCTGGGTACGAGACAAAAACATCAAAACAAAATTCCAATCTCATCTTGTAGTTCATACAACGATGATAGAAAATATAGAAGAACCTAACCTCACATTCCAATAGTTTGTAGCATAATAAAGAATGATTCCATCCCTGATGTCAATGCCAACATATACAGATTTCTATATTCAAATGGTTTAAAATCAGACTCACCGTTGGTATTCCAGCTTGAAGGGAGAGGTTGGCTGCTTTTAATGCAGTCAATGGCATTAGTTCAGAGGGTTTTATGACGACTATGCATCCACAAGCAAGAGCAGGGACAACCTGGTAACTAGATGAAACAAAATATTCAATTTTTCCTTTTCCCTGTGTGGTTTCCAGTAACAAAGTTAAGTAATATTCAATCATCAGACATAAATAGAACTCACCTTCCGAGTAATCATAGCAAAGGAAAATTCCAAGGTGTAATTGTTAGGTAATTGCCTCAAAAGTCAAAGTTGAAAGACTTCTACTGCAAATAATAAAAGGTAATTATTGATCCTATTCCATATTTTTTAGGGTTGGTGACCTGTGAGAGAGAGAGAGAGGAAAAAAAAGGCTGCCATGAGAGAAACAGAGGCTGAAATTCACATAAACTGTTGTTGTTTTTCTTCTCCTTTCTCTTGGACTGTTGCTGCACGAAAACAGGAATAAAACCGTGGCTGCTCGAGGTAAATTCAAAAATTGGAGTTTTGAGAAGTCAACAATTGCAGCTGCCTTGGGTTGGTGATTCTGGAGAGTTGTTGAGTATATATATATATATATTGATTTCCTCCTTTGCGAACTACCAACTACCTTTTGTTCCCTAGAAGCTGTGCTATAACCACTCAAAATTATCCGCAAACTCCGAGTATTTCATCGGCTACATGTCGAAACAACCTTGCTAATAGTTATGATGAAACTCTCCTACTGACTTTCCCAAAGAGCTCATCAGCCATCGACACTACAATACCACCACATACCTACGCACCTTACATCAAATGTTAGTCAATGCTATGTGCAGATATGCTGACTCACGCCAGTAAGAACACATCCTCTATTATGGCAACTAGCGACATGCCATAAGGATGTTCCCATCTTACTTTACAATACCACAAGCGCGTCTTCCTCCGCTAGGAGAGACACATTGTCCGACCCCAAGCAGTTAGCCGATCCTGCTCTACTTTTAGGTCAATTTCTCTTCAAGTGACCAGTTTGACCATAATTCCAACAAGTTACTTTCTTTCTCATGGAGTTGCCCCTCTTCCCCTTTTCAGTCACAAGCGCCGCATTGTCAGAAAGAATATTTTGTCCTCCTAATCTTCTTTCTTCTGAGATCAATTTGCTTGTCACTTCTGCGAAACTCACAGTTTCCTTCCCATATATCAAGATTGGCTTGATATGCTCATAGGTAGACGGAAGAGACCAGATGAGACTTAATGCCTTGTGCTCATCATCTATCTTCACTCCAATAGCCTCCAGTTCTGAAACAATCCCGTTGAGAGCACTCAGACGATTTGAGATTTTCGTACCTGCCTCCATGCGCAATAAATGAAATTGCTACTTCAGGTACAACCGATTTGAGAGGCTCTTCATTTGATACAGTTCTCTTAGCTTCTCCCATAGTTCCTTTGCAGCAGATATCTCATGAATTGCAAGAACATTTTTAGCCAGACAAAGACGTATCATGCTTGCAGCCTTCAAATCCAATTCCTCCTGGCTCATACTAGATTCAGCTTCCTCGCCAGAACTCTGGGTTGGTTTTCCCTTCAAAGCCTTGTGCAGTCCAACGTGAATCAATAAATCTCTGACATATTTATGTTCCTTCAATACTTCAATAAATATGACATATCTCTGATAAGCCATAATTGATTCTCCCATCAAGTTTCTCCACGTCATATTTCAACGACATATTTTCATGTTCCTTCAATACTCTGAACCACCTGGTGCTCTGATACCACTTGTTAGGAAATTTTATGCCAATTCCCTTTATTTCTATTTATCCGCGAGATTTTTTGTTGTTCAGAAAAATATTAGCGAACAAAGAAAATAAAAAATATAATGTACAAATTAAACTGACCGTCAAACATTTTCACTATATGAAAAATTATTACAATCATATAGAATTTCACTCACAAATCTAATCCCCAAAGTGTGTGTGTGTGTACTCAACAACTTTTCAGAATCACCAACCCAAGGCAACCGCAGTTGTTTACTTCTCAGAACTTCAATTTCTAAATTTTACTCCTAGCAGCCACAATTTTATTCATATTTTCGTGCATCATTAATCCAATAAAAAGGAGAAGAAAAATAGCAACAGTTTCTGTGAATTTCAGCCTCTATTTCTCTCAGGGTAGCCTCTCTTTTTTTTTTCTCTCTCACGGGTCACAACCCTAAAAAATATGGATTACATCCACTATTTATAGGATCAATAATTACCTTTTATTATTTGCAGTAGAAGTCTTCCAACTTTGACTTTTGAGACAATTACCTAACAGTAATTGCACCAACAACTCCACTGGCTGCAAGAGAACATACATTTATTATTGGAATAACTTATAACAGATTAGACCAATAATAACTAGGATACCAGAACTTATCAAATTAAAACTGGCCATCAAAACCTTCAATCATAATAAAAAAATTTATAATCAAAGTAGAAAAGGATATGATTGATCAAAAAGTATATAAGAGAGTTTAAGTAGATTTTCCATTTCATTTAATGGATGCTTAGTGATTTTCTATAACCACGGATCCCAACGGGTAAACTATTGCATGAGAGAATTTATTTTCCTTTTATGTTAAAACTGTTTTTCCCTTACTCTATTGACGACATTAACTAAGAAAATATGATTATGTGGCTCTATTTACTAAAAACAGGGTGAAGAGCACATGAAAGGAGTCAGAATAAGTTTCGGAAAGAAATTGATATTTTCCTTTGCCCTCAATTCTTCTCTTCTTGCCTCCTGCCTTTCTCTTCTTCTCTCTCCTTTCCCCTTCTCCTATAATTGTTCCTATTGCATCATGTGTCAAGTATGCACCAATTATATTTTAAAGAATGTCCGGTAGCCAGAATTGACAGCATAATTGGACTTGAAGATCAAATAAGGCCATGCTCACCTCCTTCAAAACAAACAACATGCGATCTGGTAAGGTGGCTGGAATAATGTCGCCATACAGACGTTTTGCCTCTTCAGCACAGTACTCGGTGAAACTCACCCCATAGCTAACCTGCATTGCATGTGAGAAATTTTCTTTGAGATTTGCTATTTATATTTTTCACTAAAAGGTTTTCCAGTAAGTTGAGAATTCTCCAAAAGTGACGGTCCATTTGAATATCTCTTGACTCCCTATTTGAATATCACGGGACTTATAGGGACTTCTAAAAAATTTGTGGGGAATAAACAGCCTAAATGCGGAATCAATACAAGCATAATATAGTTCCAGCAGCTCTTGAAACCAATGAACAAGTTCAATATTAATCCCAGAATCATAAACCTCAAAGACAGAGTTCTACATACTCTCCTTCCAATCAGAATTAACAATATGTATATCAATGTTATAACTTCAGTATACACTATGCAATCAAAACATACCAATGGCATTTACAGATTAAGAAACCAGCAGAATACTATCAAACTATAAAACTGAAATCATAACTTAAACTCGAACAAGACAGAACATTAAATGGACTGAATAGAGGGCAGAAAGATACTCCCCTTTCTACCGGCCGGAGAACGCCATGGATGCTCAGTTTCCACCTCATATTTCGGCTGAAATGTAGGCTCAGGAACAGCCACCATGCACCGCAAAAACGCCCTCCAGAGAGAGATTAGAACCAACCACGAAACACCCAACACTTGGCTTGGGTCATTGACCGAACGGTCTACCAAATCAGCCAAGGAGAACGCCCAATCAGACCTATCGAACCCCAGAGAAACCCAACCTCTTAACCACTATTTCAGGTCTAAGAGCACACAAGGAATTTCTTCAATACATAGGCTAAAGGTCGATTTACAGGGACAAGAAAATGGGAAGAACCCAGAGAGCAGGCTGGAGATCGAAGAAGAGAAGAGAAGTGTCTCGAGGAAGCCAAACCCACATGATATAGGTCAAAGCCAAAGAAAAATATCTCAACCACTTTGACTCAACCGTAGATCTTCATCCAACGGTTATAATAGATACCCGGCCCAGTAAAGTGTTAAAGAGAATCACTTACCAAGCCCAATAAGCCCACAAAACTTCAATTAAATATCCCATGATGACTTTTAGAGAGCTTTAAAAAGTCGTCCCAATTGAATACATTTAAATCTTTTTGAGTGTTTTGAAACTCTCAATTCAATATACCAAAACATTTTAAATCATCGAAAGTCTTTAAAAGTACCAAATGAATACACCCCTAAGTATTTAATTTCCAACAACAAGAACATAAACCATTACAGTAAATTAAAAAAAAAATTATCAAGTAAACCCAGAAATACTTATAGAGAGTCAGCGTGCGTGCGTGCGTGCGAACGAAACAAATGAGATTACCTGACGAGGTTCAAAATGGGAGAGTTCAGTAAATGCTTTGACTTGAATTGTGACTTATCACTGATTCCCGATGATTGGAACGAGTGAGAAGATATACAAGGTTGGTTTGTTAAAGTTTTTTTAAAGCCCCCGTTTGACCTTTTTTTTTAAAATATTTTTTCATGCCCATTTTTTATTATATATTCAAATAATAAATTATTTTGCACATAAATTTAAAAAAAAATCATTTTTTAACCATGGATTCATCAAACAATTACTATCTAAAACATCATTTTTTACAAAATAATGACTATCAAATAGGGGCTTATTTTTTTCTCAAAATTATAAAACTCGTAATTTATTTACTTATTAATTATACGTTTTTTAAAAAATTATTTTTCAATTAAAAAAATTTGTGCCAAACAATATTTTAATGTGAGATCAAAGTATTTTACGAAAAATTGAAAAAAAAAATGGCTTAGTCATTTGTACACTAAATTTATACACTTTGATTGACAATTGCATTGTTGTCAACAAATGCTTTGATGAAAAAACTGTTTAAAATTTAAACTATCTAATTAGATAATACAACGTGGCAAAGTGTAAATCAAAATGTACGATAAAGTTTAAATACAGCAAGGTTGAAAAAATTGGGTGATGAGATATTAATAAATTGAGATTAAGTAATGAACATGAAATAAAAACAACTAGATGATCCAGAATGAAAATTTTCCAAATATTCCCTAGGGTTTAAAGGAGATTTTGATAAAATATTAAGTAAAATTAAGCAAATTAAACTCCATTGTTTGAGCCTTGTTCTCTGTAACTCTTTTTTTTCCTCAAACTCATTTTCAACAACACGTTCTATCAATAAAATAATTTTGCAAATCAATCCAAAACTTTTTGTCTACTTTTTAATCAGACATCTATAATAATAATAATAATAATAATAATAATAATAATAATAATAATAATAATATCGCATTAATTGAGAATTATTTTTTAGACGATTCTGTTCTTACTAGTTATTATAATTCAATTATGCCAATAATAACTTGCTTCCGTATTTACCTTACTTTTCATTTTTCAATATATATTAATTTTTCAATTAAAAATCCTCTCACATTCCCCAAATCAATCATATACTCAATAATTAACAATTAATTCCTTTAAAACCTTCCACCCCTCTTTAGCCTTTGCCTTTACGCGTGTGATTGGTGGGTTTGGTGAATAAGTTTCTCAAAAGAGATTAATTCTCCCAAGTTCATATACACTTTATATATATTTTCGGGACTATTCAATTAATCTAGAAGTAAATAAATTATAAAGTTCGTGTACACTTATTCATTTTCAAAATT